GAGGGGGGCTCTCACAGACCCCAGCCCTGCAGGGAGTCCCCAGGCAGAATTTTGTGGGGTCCCCCAGGAGGAAAACCCTGGGAAAGGGTCGAGTACCTCCCTGAGCAGTATTTGTCCATCAGCGGTTTGGGTTCAGGAGCCTGGTCCCCGCTCCACAACAGGAGACAGTCCACAATGGCAAACCCAGAAGCCGTTAGCATCTTCCAGCCCCAGACCCTGGCAGAAGAAGAGGCGCTTTGCCAGGCGGGGATCCCGCTGGAGGCACCATCCAGAACGCAGACACCGTTAACAGCTAAGCCTCTCAAACCCCATCCATCAGCTCAGGTGGCAGAATGCTAAAATGTTCTGAGAGAAGGATGGGACCTGTTCTCTGCTGCACACAGAGCTCCTGTCCCAGGATGGACACTGGCAGGTTAGACTAGGAGGAGGTGAAAAATGCAGAGGTCATACTTCCCTGGTGGAAGAGTTAAACTGGGGTTCTTCACCCCAAAACAAAAGCAGTTTTCAGTTGCTCATTTGGATCTTTAATTTTCCCTTCAATGAGTGAAATGTTCTTTGAGAAGAGCAGTTCATACCAATTGTCACAGTTAAGTACCCCATTTAAATAGTTGCTTAATTTCACACGAAGCAAAAGGTTTTGCTGAACACAGCACTGCTTCCCAAAACAGAAACACCGCTATAAATGCATAGGAGCAGGTGTGAACATTACCACTACGCTACAGGATAAAATAAGCAGGAACTTCAACTAAAAGCCCCAGTAGATGCAGACAACCCAGAAACCCAAGAATATCACCAGCAAAGTTGAAAACAAGAGCTGTTTGGATGCACGTTCCCATTGAGAACACAGCTGTACAGTGCATCTTGGCTAAATCCATCCACCTGGGATTCAGCAGGTTAGTCTGGATTAGATTTACCTAAATCACAATTTACAAACTTCCAACAGAGGCAGATGGATCAGTTAAAGATTTGAAACACCTAGTCTCTCCCTACAGTTCCAGCTCCCTCAGAAATAAATTTAAAAAAATAATCTCATGCCCACCATTTCCCTCACCACAAACTAGGACTGAAATGAACTCCTTTCCCCCGGGCTAGTGTCTGGCCCTTCTGTGACACTGCCCTGAACAAGATACCATCTACCAGGCACAGAAACCCTTCCCAACTAGCATTATCCCGTCATTAGTTAGTGGGTGACATCTACTGGTAGGCTGCACACTGCAGGGGACCCCGGGCTGCACCTCCCCACCCCAGCTCTGAGCAGCTCCAGCAGCCTGTGCTGTCACAGCCGCCCCATCCTTTTAAGCCAGGGTTAATCAACCCAGTGATTTCAGGACTGGGATCAAGGAAATGCTCACCTGCCTTCACTGGTTGTGTCCAGTTCACAGAGGGCCTCAGGCCAACACAGATGAACTTGCTGAATTTTCTGTCTGCAAAATAGAATTGTCTCTCAGCCCAGCTTTACTGCATTACTGGGAATTACTAGAAATGAGCGACTTCCTGAGCAGAGCAGAGAAACTGCCCGCAGCACTTCCGTGCTGCCATGAACCAATGCTCCTCATTCCTTCCTCCGTAAGAATCACCTCTACCAACATCAGTAACCACCAAACCTACAAAGTTCCTCTTATATAACCTGCTCCTCATCACAAGTTACACATGCCAAAGGTTTGAGTCACCTCTCTGCTACATGAGCTCTAGATTTATGCATGTAAACAAAAGCACAGTGATGCACCCAGGTGGCTTTTTCACCTATTTTATTATACACAAAACATGAGCAGGAAGTTCTACTGAGGAGGCTGACCACGTCCACGACCAAATCCACCTCTCTGCAACAGAAAAGGAAGAGCATTAGAAGTCACCATATGAAGCGAGTGACAGCAGCAGTTACACAGCAGCAAGAACCACCAACATCATAAAGAGCCAGCTCTCTTTCCTCCACTTTGCATTTGATAAGCATCCGCTGCTCCAAGCACAGACTACCTGACACAGGTTAACCAGATGAACGATCCTAAGAACAGAATCAACACATCCTAGCCAGCTCTGTGGATCATGTCTAACACTCTTCTATTTCTGAAGTATAAAATAATGAATTTCCTCCAGAGGGCTCAGCTTTCTTCTCAGATGTGCCACTGGCTTCCTGGCACAGCACCGAGGCCATCATGTAGTTTTGCAGCAAGCGAGCTGGGCATAGAGGGTAACCATTGCCAGCTCTTACACAATCGGAGCCAAACACCGAACCCCAGCAGGCACACCTGAGAAGGACCACACTGCCGAGCAAGCAGATAGGATCTATCCAGTTTCTCCCAATCAAAGCCTCAATAAAAGGAAGCCAATCTTGAATGCAAATACTCACAAACTGGAATTCAGTGGCTGCTCCAGCACCAGCCTCAGCTTTCTTGTCAGCGCCAGCTGGAAAGAGAGAAGAATGAGTTACAAACCAAAAAAACCACGCCCCAAGTACAGCACTCCTGCTTGGAATCAAAGGTTTACAATCAAAGATGACTAAAACTGAGGAGAAATAGAGGAAAGTAAAGTAGCTACTATTGAGACTGTTAGAGAGTTACTGAACCCCCCCCCAGAGAAAATCCCACAGTCCAGCTTGCCAAAATTCAAGAAAAGAACCACATCCATAAGCAGATTCAGATAAAGTCTGTTGTGCTGATGCCTAAGCTACACCAAGAGCTTAATTTTCCCCTTTTCTTCTCAAAAGGAGGCCAACACCAAAGACAACTCTCCCACAGAGATAAGCTGCACAAAGAGCAAGGTCAGTCTGCTATTCACACAGCAACACGATGGACACTCACGTGGAACAGCACTGCGTCTGTACGTATCTCTGTCAGCTTCTCCCCGAGTCAGACGCGCAGGGCGTTCACCTTCCAGACCTGTAAGAGAAAACAGCAACACCAAACACGTTGCTCACCCAGGACACCAACAACTCATTCCATGGCTGACCCCACATCTCAAGGTAAAAAAGAGCCCTCGGGTCAAGCATTAGATCTACCAGCAGAGCTACACCTCAGTGTAGATAAACCTAGACAGAAAAGGGATATAATGAAGAAAACTTCACTTTAAGGGTAAAAATCTGCTAAAGTGCACCAGCTTGGGCTTGGGTTGAAGTTAAATAACGCGAAAAATGGATTTACAGCATCATCTCAACGGTCTTCTGGCCTTCAAACAAGAGCCAAAAATTACTGATAACAAAACCAATCAGAAATATAGGGAATCTGTCATGTCCGACAAGCTTCTTCATCACTAAAGCACAAACTGCACGAGGTTCTGATCCCAACCTAAACCACAGCTCCACTATCAGTATCACAAATCCTCCACAATGGTATAGATTAATAAAACTAAGAGCAGATTATCTGTGTAACATCAGATTAATACCAGACAGAACACTTGGAGGAAAGAAACAGATGTGGTGGAACTGCTGGCCTCTGCGTGACTCTTGTGGGGTGGGCTGTATTCAGAGGTGAAATACGTTCCCGCAGCACCAGGCCAAGATCCTGGGAGTAAGACATTTAAGAGCAGTTGCTGCCTGGTGCACCACAGTGTACCAAGAGTCTCAAGCACACTGCAGGAAACATGAGTAATGCACTCCTACAGGTTTGATCTATCCTATAGGCAGCAGTTTTCTCATACAAAACACAAATTGCAAGTTATCAAACACACAGTAGTCTAAAACCTGCTTCAGACTAACTGTTCTGGCCTTTGCACCAAGTCTTACTTGAGAAAGTCGGCAGCACTGTGTGGAAATACCAGAAAAGGCCCCAAAACCCCAAGAGGTCAAGCAAGACCTGTAAGCTTGGATCCCGCACCATCATCCACACGCACACCTCTGTGACTCGGAGTCTGCTGCAGCCTAAAGCAGGTAATCCACAGCAAAACAGCACGGAACCGGACAACTCACGCAGCGCCCTCAGCCAACCCTGACAAGGTGCAGGCTGAGCAAGGTCACTGCACTGCAAAGGGCTGGGATGCTGCAAAGTGAAGCTTCCTCGCCACAGGAACCCTGAGCAAATTTTAGCCAGGAACTGTAAGCCTCATCCTCCCATTAGACACACAGTTTTTTTTAATCTCACTGGATAAACACAACATCTAAAGAATAAATTTGATAACATCCAAAGCTACTCGGAGATCAAAGAAACCATCACCTTTGTAGTTTTAATGCAATTCCTTCCTTTGAAGCAGACGGTGCTACAGTTTTGTTAGGTTAAAAAACAAGCTGCAGGAGATGGAGGTGAACTCCTCAGCACCCCACACCACAGCCTCCCTCCCCAGCGCAGCGTCCAGTACTTGCTGACGGGATACGGTGCAGCTCAGAGGCAGGAAGAGCAGGCTCCTGCCACACACCAGAAAGCGCTCTGTCATGCAGGACTCCCCTTTCCAGAGTGAGTCCTTCTTTCAGGACAGCATGACATCCTACAACATTATTTTGATAAACACAAGAGGCAACTCCACACAAGGCAGACAGACCCACCATCTCCTGCCTCGAGTGAAAAGAAACATTTCTTGCCCCTAGAGACCCAGCAATGCTGTTCTGCCAGCCCCAGCTGCAGTAATTTTCTCTCTCCCTTCTCTAAGAAAAACTTTTTATCTCCCCAAAAATCTACCGGGCAAGTTTATAATCTCTGTCCTGCACTGTGGTGTTTCTACCACTGGCCAAGAAACCAGGAAAACCAAGCAGAAGGGATTTCACAGAGCATTTCAAAATGCATATGAGCAATGTAACCATCCTTTACTATTCTGAATTACTAGCTCGGAACACAGCAACCTTTTCAGAACTGAACGAGGGCACTGTGGCTTCAGCACATTCACCTCAACTTTAAAAAAGTGAAGGCAGCTTTAGTAACATGACTTGCCTGACAGCACACTAAGCATATGTGGTAAGGACAGAACTGTGGGGGTCCAACTTGACCTCAGGTGCCACAGACGAAGCATATGCAGTGCTTGGGCTCAGCTTTTGCTTTCAGTCACTGAATCTCGTGCCTATGTGCCACATTCAGATGCAGATTTGTTCCCCCTCTCAGCAACCCCAGCCAAGGCCACTCAGCTTTTACATGACAGCCTCCCAGCCCGTTCTCCCCAGGATAACTCAGCCAGAGACAAGGTTCTCTGTACTGACAGCCCACACGCTGTCTTCCTGCAGTGACTGCTGCAGGTTCTCCCCAAGTTTTTCAAAAAGCAGTTTTTCGAAAAGCCCTGGCAGCCAGAGGCACCCCCCATCTCAGACCTCAGCCACATCTGGGCCCAAATGGGTACCTCAACCCACAGCCTGCGGTTTCAGCACGCCTGCTCTCTGTAACTCCAGTCACTTGTGTTACCAGAGAAGGCCAAGTCTCACGCTCAAAGCATTTCTCCCAGTCAGTCTCACAGCTTTCTTTAGCCCTCTCCAACTTCTCAGTAGGCCTGCAGCCATCACACCAGTGCCAAATACAAAAGCAACAAAACCTACACGTGCCTCCTTGACCTATAAATGTTTATACATCCAAAAATCACAGCAGCTCCCACCAGTCTGCTCTGGAAGCTGACGTTCAACTGAGCATCCACCACACCCACGCTGTCCAACAGGCTTAACCTCACTCCCTGCCTCCTCCTGCTGACTCAGCAGTCCCCTCTCAGCCACCGCGTACCTTTTGGCCGTGGTCTGCCAGTCTCCGGGCGGCTCCGGCGCAAGGTTGCAGGGACAATTTCAGGGGGGAGGTGAAGGTAATCGCGCAGGTACTGGATGCCCTCGTTGGTCAGATACCAGTAGAAATGCCTCCACGCAAACTGCTCTTTCACATAACCACGGGATTTCAGAGACTGGAGAGAGAATTCTCGGTTACTTATCCTTATCATCCTTCAACATCCCCCATCAGTACCATCCCCAGATGTTTTTATGAACACAACAGCTTATGGGGGGTATGTCGGGAATAAAAATGCAGAAACAGATAAAAGTTCAGCACGGGAAAATAAAATCACAGCACCATTCCCACCCTGTGAGAAAATACAAGGCTGTCACACAGAGAGGGATCATAGCTTCAAAACCAGAGCTAGAAATGGGGATCAATAAAAGAATAACCTGTGGTCTGTGGGGGGAAATAAATAAGGAAGAAAATATTAAAAATCAGAAAAATGGGAAAACAATCCTAATAGGAAAGAAACGACAAATACAGGGCAACATCCGACAGTTTACTCATAGGCATGCAACAACCTCATGTGCCCAGGTCCCGGCTGGCTGGCAGCCTGGCCCACACCTCCGTACCTGCATGGCTTTCATGACGTGGAGGTTGGGGACGTTCTTGTCGACGAGCTCAGGGTGCTTCGACATGTGGACATCTTTCTTGGCCACCATCACTCCCTCCTTAAACAGGAGTTCATAGATGGCAATTCGGTTCTTCTTGGGCATCAACATCTAACCAAGAGATAAGCAGTAAACAATAAATGCTGCCAACTTAAAATAAATGCACCCAGGAGCCTACCAGAAGGAATAAAATAACAACAGTGTTAGTGTGTGTGAAAAGCCTGACACTGCAATAACACCCCCACGATTACTGTCTCCTGTAAGAACTTTCTGAACTATTCTTACACACCTGAGCTGCTGGGCATCCCTTCCCCTTGCCTTCCTGTGAAGGAAAACCCAGCAGTCCAAACTTTTGCTCTTTAAATCCCATCACCGCATGAAAGAGGGTGAACTACGTGATGTCAGTCAAAACCAGAGACAGGGGCGGCCACAGTCACAGACCCAGCTCAGGGCAAGGCCTGTTCCCGCTCCGCCACCGGAGCTGAGGCCTGCGGACACTCCGCTGGGAGCTGAGACACTGGGGCTGGGATGGGGACGCTCTGGCCCGAGCAGAGGGGAACTGCAGAGCCCCCGGTGCTCATGACACGGCAGCATGCACGGAGCTGTC